AGTGGAGTAGAAGCAGTACTGCTGACAATTCACAAACCGAAAGAGACATAGTTGAAGAGCTACGCCCACACACAAACATAAAAGTAGTCTAAATCACAGGATATAGAGGGACAAAATTTCCAAATTGTCCAGCTAACCTTCGCTTCGTAAGTTGGTGGAATTGTCTCTAAGCTACTGTAAGGATTGTTATTCCTTGCCCCCACTAGGACAACTCCCTTGTCTGAAATTCTTTTCCATTAGAGTGACACATGGAATAACAGAGGTAACGGAAGAATTCTATGACATTTCAGCCTAAAAACAGCATTTAACCTCTCTTGAAAAGCTTGAATTTGAATATATATCCGTAGTTGAAGCAATGACATGTACTAGGAAATGGAGATTTCCCTGCACTTTAGAAGATTTAAGTCCAAAGTTTACAATTGATTTTGTGGAATTTTCCTTTGATTGTCTATTAGCTTGATTTGTTCGTTAATCAATAGTTGTTGTAGGAGTTATCCGATATTGTCTTTGTAGTTATTACTGTTTAAATGTTGTGTGTGTATTTTAGTTCATACTTCTTAAAATTTCTTCATTCTAAGTTTTTCTTTCTCCTCCTTATATTAAATATGTGTTGTTTAGTGAAGATCTTCCCATACATAAGTGGATCTAGAGAGGAAGCTATGGGTTGGTAGAGACTGATTCATAACTATACAAAAGTTGAATGATGCAGGTATTCTTTATTGTTATTCCATACAGTACAAATTTATGAAATATAAAAAAATGTTTGTGAGCCATAAATTTATTGTTATTCAATGCATTTTGCTTAAGAGTTGTGTCTGTCTAGAGCTTCTGTAGTAGTTTTAGACATCTTTTTGTGTTTGTTTTATAAGAAAGATGTTCAGGCAACAAGGTGAGGAAACAACTGAAAAAATGCATAACAGGACTTACAGAGGCCATCGATGGTCTGTTGTTTGATCGACGGACCATTGTTGGGAACCATAGATGAGAAGCTCAGGACTTTAGAGACAACTCGGGGAAATTTGAAAAAGTGTGGAACTACGAAAGGAAACGAGATCGGCGGACTGTCCAGGTGGATCGTTGTTTTGATCAGAGAAGGTTTCAGTACCCCAACTTTGAAAAATTCTAAGGATGCTACGATGGAGGGCATCGATGCACCGTGTTGTTGGTTCGTCGATTGATTCAGAGATTGTGCAATCTGAGGAGAGAAAAATTATTCTAAGTCCTGATTGATGGTTCGTCAGTTGGTCCGTAGATTGATGTCGCGTGAGCTGAGCAAACTTTTTATATTTTAATTCTTTTTAATTTTTACAATGTTTTATATAAATAGGGGATTAAAACCTCATTTATGGGGTTAGAACCTCTTTTTATTTTTTTTTACTTTTGTTTGGATATTGATTTTTGAAAATTTTAGCAATCAACCATTTTTGGATTTGGTTTGAAGTTTTATCTTGCAATTTCAAGTTGATTTTCTGGGTTTCTTTTTATTGATAAAGTAAGTTCTTGATTTCTTATTTACAAACTATGAATCGTGTTCTTGCTTGCATGGGAAACTAAATCCACAAACCTTATTAACAAAGTAGACCTACCAAATAAGCGATTCTCGAATAGGTTCTTGCATGTATTGATAATTCTTTCATTTAGATGTATTTTTAACTAGTGAATGCATTAGAACTAGCCGTTTCTCTACTTGGCGGAAAAAGAAGGAGTTAATAAGAAAAGAATTATCAACATAGATTTAGTGTAATGCTATCTAATAGGCCAGTGTCAATTTGTGCGAAATAATAACTAAGTCATATATCGATTATGATGTATAATATGAGGTAAAATAAGGGTTAGTATTTTATAAACATGTAGTTGGACCAAGGTGCGGGGTAAAATTCTCTAGATGTAAGACCAAGGACTTAGTGATACATACCTTACTACCTTACATGCAAAACACTAAGGAAGAATTGCTATTGCTAGGAATACGGCGTTATGAACCTATGGGGAACCCATATACCCTAGTTAGTCTCACAACTTGATAAAACTCAATATTTAATTTTGTTTACTTATTAGCTTAGAATTGTTTAAGAAAATTGTTATATATGAAAATACCCCCTTTTATTACTTTCTTTTGGAAAGACCTTGACTAAATAGAAGTAATAGTGACTTGAAGTCAAGTCTAAACTATTTTCCTTGAGGGATCGACCCCAATCTACTAGTTGGGTTCTTTAGTTGGTTACGATCGCTTATACTTCTTTAGGGAGATATAATTTGAGTGTATCAAATTTTGGCGCCGCTGCCGGGGAATCTGGATTTTATATTAACTTCAATTACATTATTGAAATTTAGTCAATAATTTCTTGATTTTACTTTTTCTTTTTCTTTTTGTTTCTTAGGTCTAGCTCTAGTGTATCCCCTTTGATCCCAAACTTAAGCGCACTTTGAGAAGGATGGAAAATCAACACAACCCACACAACTCTTGCATAGAGACCTTATTCTCGCTATATGGGCATGTGGGTCCTCCAATGACGGTTTCGAGAATAAACCCCTTTCTATGAGAATATGCATTGAACTACTCATCACCATGAATTTGTGCCTAGGTGGACAAAGGGGTAGGACAAGAGAACCTTCAGATTCAGTAATGTTAACATTGCCTCTATTGTAATCCTGAGGCTGTGGGGCTGCGTGATGCATCCTCAAACCATTATCCAATGTGTTCTCAGCATGAACTTTATTGTGTTCTTCAACCGGCAATGGAGGTTGCTGGAATGCCCCATTAGGTTGCGAGTATTTCCTCTATCACTAATAGGAGATAGTACCATTTGTTTTATCGAGCTTCTCTACAACACTATTCATAGCTAGGATTAGTTAACAGATGTGTTCATGGCAAGGTACTTTCCAGTGTCTAAGAAACTCAACAACAAAGATAAGTTGAATAATTCAGTGGTACTACAAGGAGAGTCAGTAAGTAGCTCTTTGGATAGATTTATCGCCTTCCTAAGAGGCGTCTCAAACTACCGCATTGATGATGATTAGCTGAAGAGTACTTCTATAGAGGTCAAGAGAATAACAACCAAGCATTTCTTGATACTATTGCAGGTGGCTAATATGGGGAATGTACTTATGCTGAGATTGCAGAGAAGTTGGAAAACATATCTCGCAACAATAAAGATTGGAGCATTAGAAAGTCATACATTGGGAAAAACACCTTTGGGATACAAGCCACTAACAACCCATCAGCAGATGACATTTGTGAAGAGTTGGCACAAATGAGAACTGAACTTGGGTGGGTATTGAAACATGTGTGTGGAGATGCAGAGAAGGTGAATGTGGTGCACTATTTTACTAAACCACCAATGCTGACAGATTAGTACTATTATGAAGAGGATACTTATGTAGTGAATGATTAGATGGGAGGTGTCAAACCAAACACCCAAAGCTCCACTTAGGAGAATTAGAGCCAAAGTAAAGGAAACCAAGGTCGGAACAATTGTAACTATAACTGAGAGGGTCAATATGTCCGAGATGGGAACTACAACCACGACAACAACTTCAACCGGAGTAACTGTAATAATAGAAATGAGCAGAGTGGGCCCTAGGTTCCACATTATAATAGAGAAATTGCTCTTAGGTACAATGGAGGTAGTATGACGAGACCTGGGGACATGAGACAAAAGATGAGAAGTAGGTTTGATGCTAGTGATGAGAATGTCAAAGAGATTAGAGGTGATCTATCTAACATTGAACAAAAGGTCGATGCACATGCAGTTTCGATTAAGCACATTATTCTACAGATGACTTAGTTTCTAATACTGTAAACCCTCACCAACATGTCACTCTTCCTACCAACACTATCCATAATCCTAAAAATGATTGTCATTGAATGTCAATTATGAACCGAAGAGGTAAGAAGACCATTTATCCACCTATGCCATCTAAGGTAGAAGATGATATGAGAAAATATAATGAGGTAGTATAGGATCATGGAGAGTTGGTAAATTGGTTAAAGAAGAAGAGGTCTCTCAGAAAGTGGTCCCTATTCCTAGACCTCCACCACCATTCTCTTAAAAACTAGTGAAGAAGACTTAGGATGGTAAATACTGGTAATTTATGATTATGTTGAAACAGTTTTCCATCAATGTCCCTTTGATTGAATCTTTGAAACAAATGTCCGGTTATGCTAAGTTGATGAAGGATATGGCGACAAAGAAGATATCGAAGAGTTTTGAGAATGAGGAGAGAATGCAGTATTGTAGTGTTATTGCTACACGGTCTCTTGTGCAGAAGAAGTAGGTTCCTGGTGCTTTACTATTCCATGCATGGTAGCATTGCTAAACTTTGCTAAGGCACTATGTGATCTAGATTCTAGCATAAATCTTATGCCTCTGTCCATTTATAAGAAGTTAGGCTTAGGTGACCCAAAGCCTACTATGATGCAATTACTGATAGCTGATTGAACAATGAAGAGGCCCATTGGTATACTCCATGATGTGCTTGTGAAAGTGGAGTCATTTGTATTTCCTACCAATTTTGTGATTCTTGACTATGAAGTTAATTTTGAGGTACCCATCATTCTAGGGAGGAAATTCCTTGATACAAAGCATGCATTGGTTGATATGGAAAAGGGCAGATAAAGTTTAGGTTGAACAATGAAGAAGAAACTTTCAACATATATAGGTCCATGAAGTAGAGTGATGAGATCCAAACGGTATCTGTTATATCCAACAGAGTTGAGAGTATCTCTGATGTACAAATGGAAGAGCGACTAGTTTTCAAGGCATTAACTTCAGGATTATGAACTTTGATAGTGATGGTATTGAAGAGTATGGGTCTTTGGTGGCTTCACTTGAACGAAATGAATACCGGTCAAAATCAAAGAAATTGGAGTTACATATGAAGCATCGTGAGTCTCCACCCTCAAAACCATCTATTTAGCACCCCCAAAGTTAAATATTAAGTCTCTACCGCCTCATCTAAGGTATGTGTTCTTAGGTTGAGATAACACTTTGTCTGTGATAATGGCAGCATATTTGAATGGGGCACAAGTGGAGTACTTGGTGGTAGTATTTAAAGGGTTTAAAGGAGCCATTGGGTGGACTTTTGCGGATATTATTCGTATCCCACCAGGTATTTTTTCCCACAAAATCCAACTCATGACCGATCAAAAACTGAGTACTGAGCACCAAAGAAGGTTAAACCGACATATGCAAGAGGTACTGAAAAAGGAGATCATCAAGTGGTTGGATGCCGTAGTCATCTACCCTATTGTAGATAGTAGTTTGATGTGTCCTGTTTAGTGTGTACCTAAAAGGGGTGGGATGACAGTGGTGCCCAATGAGATGAATGAGCTTGTTACAATACGGCCAGCGAATGGATGGAGAGTTAGTAAGGACTATCAATAGTTGAAAGCTTGGACCGAGGATGACAATTTCTCCATGCCCTTTATGATTAAATATTAGACAGAGTCGTCGAAAAAGGGTGGTATTATTTTCTTGATAGCTATTCGGGTTACAATAAAATTTCTATTGGCCCTAAGGATTAAGACAAGACTACTTTTACTTTCCCTTCTGGGACATTCACCTTCAAAAGGATGATGTTTGGGTTATGCAATGCATAGACGACCTTCTAACGTTGTATGATGTCAATATTCTTTAATATGGCGGAGGACACTATTAAGGTGTTCATGGATGATATCTCTATAGTAGGAGACTCCTTTGATCGGTGTTTGGGTAAACTGGTTGAGGTACTCAAAAAAAGGTTAAGATTATAAATTGGTGTTTAATTGGGAAAAATGTCTCTTTATGGTAAAAGAAGGTATAGTGTTGGGCAATCACATCACGGAGAAGGGGATAGAGGTTGATCGAGCTATAGTGGAAGTGATACAGAGGCTCTCACCACCCATATCTGTAAAATCTGTGAGAAGTTTTCTTGGATATGGGCTTTTATGGAGGTTTATTAAGGAATTTTCAAAAATTTCACATCATTTGTTCAAACTACTCGAGAAGGAATGTAAATTACATTTTAATGAAGTAGGAAAGTCGAATGAGAAGTTGATATCCACCCATTATTATTTCCCCATATTGGAGGGAGTCATTTTAGGTGATTTATGATGGTAGTAGGGTTGCTCTTGGTGTGGTATTGGGACAGAGAAGGGATCACATCCTTCACCCTACTTACCATGCAAGTAAAGCTCTAAATGAAGCTCAAAAGAACTACACAATAACGAAATAAGAGCTTCTTGCGGTGGTGTTTGCATTCAAAAAAATTCGCTCCGATTTGTTTGACACGAGGGTTATAGTTCATATAGACCACTCCTCGTTGAGGTACTTGATGACGAAGAAGGATGTGAAGCCAAGGTTGATTAGAATGTTGTTATTTCTGCAAGAGTTTGATTTTGAAGTGAAACATAGAAAGGGGATTGAGAATCAAGTTGCCAATCACTTGTCTAGGTTACAGGATGAAGCTATGTGTGAAATAGAAGAAAAGACGAAAATTGATGATGCATTCCCAGATGAACATGTCTTGGCTGCTTCTCAAGATTTGGTCCCATAGTTCTCATATTTTGCAAAATATCTAGCAAGTGATAAAATTCCATCTGACTTGTCTTTCTATCAAAGGAAATTGTTCATGTTTGATTTAAAGAAGTTCTTTTGGGATGATCCTTACTTCAATCGGAGTTGTGCAGATGGGATTTTTCACTATTGTGTACCAAAGGTTGAGATGTTGAGTGTTTTGGAGGCATATCACTCCTCGTCTGTGGGTGGGCACTATAGTGGTATCCGGACTGCGCATAAATTCTTGCATTATGGGTACTATTGGCTATCCATTCACCAAGATGCTCACGAGTTTGCCAAATTTTGTGATTTGTGCCAACAAGATAGAAGGATCTCTAAAAGGCAAGAGCTCTCTTTCAATCCTATTCTGGTGTATGAGTTATTTGATATATGGGGCATTGATTTTATGGTCCCATTTGTGAGTTCTCATAGAATGAAGTATATACTTGTGGAGGTTGACTATGTGTCAAAATGGGTGGAAGCAATAACACTTCCTTACAATGAAGGAAAGAGTGTCACCGCATTCTTGAAAAAGAATATCTTCTCCATATTTGGTACACCTAGGGTCATTATTAGTGATGGTGGCTCTAACTTTTGTAATAAGTTGTTCAAAGGGAAATTGGAGAAATATGGGGTTCTCCATAATGTGGTTACTCCTTATCATCCACAAACAAGCGGAGAAGTTGAGGTCTCCAATTGAGAGATCAAGCAAATTCTGGCGAAAACGGTGAATGCTAATAGAACAGATTGGTCAAGGAGGTTTGATGATGCTCATTGGGCCTATCGCACTACATAAAAGACTCCCATAGGTATGTCTCCATAACAACTTGTATATGGGAAGACTTGTCACTTGCCGGTCGAATAAGAACACAAAGCAATGTGGGCAATGAAGAAACTGGAGATATATCGAAATAAAGAGGCAGAACAAATACTAAATGGGTTGGATGAGGTTGATTAGTTTTGACTCAAGGCCTATGAAAGTTTAGCCATCTACAAAGAGAAGATGAAAAATTATCACGACCAAAGAATTCAAAAACGAGAATTTGTGTTTGCTGATTTGGTGCTTCTATTAAACTCTAGACTATGCTTGTTTTTGGGAAAACTCAAGTCCAAGTGGATAGGGTCATTCCTCATCACTAAGATGTTCTCCCATGGAGCGGTTGAGTTGGATAATAAGAAGGGCACAAAGTTCACAATCAATGGGCAAAAGATTAAGATCTACCCGGGGCATGCGGAGAGTGTCCATGAAGTTGTTGAGGGCTATCACCTTGATGAAATCTGAGTAATCAAGGAGCATGTTTTGTAGAGCGAGGTTAAATCAATATTTTCTTGGGAGGCAACCCATGGTGTATCCTCTAGCCAACAATAGGTTTTATTTTCTTTGTAGGAATTTTTTAGCTTTTTGTTTCATTTTGTTTTTAATCTTATTTCATTCTTGCGTGTGCACTAGTTTTGTCTAGAGATTAGTCTAGGATCCGTTTCTCAAAAGTTTCTAGAAAAACACAAAAAGAATGTCTTAGTAGGTGTTACATTTGTAGGGACCAAAACAAAAATCTGCAGAAAATGGTCTGGTGCATAGGTCTACGGGCTGCATCGACGGGTCGTAATTCCATCGATGGACCGTCGATGGCGTTCGTAGATCCCAGGTAAGTCTGTTGAATTTTCTATGTCAAGAATAAATCGATGGTCCCAGTCGACGGACTGTCAACTGACCTATGGTCTGTCGATGGGGCTTCATAGGTCCAAACTGCCAGCGACCCGACCAGACCAGTCCGGTAATATTAAAGGACATAACTGTTCATATTCATTCTCACCTTCAAATTCTTTTAAAATTCCATTTTAAACCCATTTTTCTTCCTTTATTTGTTTACTATATAACTAACTATCATACCCCCATATTTCATTTCACTCCCAAATCAGAATCCGTCAAAATCCCCAAGCTATCCGTTCCACAATTCTCATTTCTCTCCATTGTTATTCAGTCGGTGATCGAGTTCAGGTGCGTAAGATAATTCTTGAAAGTTCATCTCACAACCACATTCTTCTGAACTAAAGGTATTTCGATTTCTTTTAAACTTTGAATTCTCATTCATAGTTGTTTACAGAAATCTTGATGTGGGTCTTTACTGTGGAACTAAATTAACTGAAATCGCATGCTAAAACTTGTGTAGTACGTCCCTTGGAATGATAGAGTGTGAGTGTGTCGCCTTGTAATCTGTATAAAATATGCGTATTTTTTTAGTTTTGGCAATTATGACTTAGGGTTTCGTACTGTGGCTGAAGTTGTATGCAAATTTTTTGAAAACGAAACTCTAGGAATGACAAAATGGTCTTTTGTATCTTAAAATTGCATGTCTGAAATTGAGTGTGTCAAAATTTGACCAAAAATGGACCTTGAAAAAAGGCATGAAGTCTGTCTTAGGCCAAAAGTACGAAACCCCATCGATGGACCGTTGATGGGGTCTATCAATTGAACAAAACTTAAAATATTGAAGTTTTAAATGAGAGACGTGGACTACGAAACGTTTTGCACGACCATAATGTCTATCAGAGAATTTATTTTCACTAACTTCTAAAATAATTCAAAGTGTTAGACAACGGAAGTGGACTATGGTCTATCGATTGATCGACGGGTCGTTCTGCACGTCCGTCATTTCGATCTGAAAAATATGATTTTTTTCTAAATTAAATAATTGTATGTGTCAAACGACGGACCCTATCGACGGACCGTGGATTGATCGATAGAACGTCGATATGACTGTTGACCTGAATTCGAAGAACTGAATTGTGTTGTTATTTCTTTTCTTATCTTCGCCATGTGTGCTTCGAGTATGTAGTTATGGTGAGCTGTGACTAAAAGCTACTCTACATGTACTAATGGCTTTCAAGAAGGACATCATCTATGCAAAGAGGGTCAAATCCAAGTCTATTTCCCCATCTCGTTGGATAACCATAAACTCTTACACTGATCAAGACCCTGCTTACGTACCTTCAGGGACCATAAACCCCACCATAGTTGCACGAGTCACAAAGGGAACCCACTGCCTCCCAGTCTGATAAGAAGCACACACTGACCGGTTCACCAGCTGGGGTTGGTTCTAGTTCTGAAGGGGACTCCGCAGCTGGGTACGATTCTGCTTTTGCCTTATAGTCGAACAAATATTCTGGGTTGAAGGCAGCCACTGTTTCCAGTTATGCTTCTCAGGGAGCCACAAGGTCGGAGGGCCACGATTACCAAGTCTCGGCTGATGGAGCTACTTGCTAGGATTTTGCACCTGCACCCTGAGCAGATGAACCCGTACATGTTTCTGAGGAACCTTACTGTAGGTGCTTTGATGGCTAAAATCTGGTGAACAGGGATGCCAAAATGCTGAATGAGAAGGGGGTAATGACCCATCTAGTTACGGTGGAGTGCTGCGTCCTCACGGGTAGTTTGCACACAGTCATCAAGGTGCATAGATTGTTCAAGCGACACAGGTTTGACTTGATGGCGCGGGATTGGGGATCCTACAGAGTGGAGATAGTCAGGGAGTTCTATGTTTCCTATGTTACTACTCTCCAAGGGTCCCTTGACAGGAGGGCAAGGCATGCCAAACATGATCCTCTCACATATACACTTGTCCGGGTTTTTTGAGTGGATATATCAGAGTCTACCATCTGCCAATTCTGATCACTAGCTCATAGGTAACGCATAATACCGCAAAATTTCACTATCTGTGGCAAGTAGTAAAGAGTGGTGAGTTCCATAGGAGTATTGAACATCGAGAGGAAATAAAGAAGTGGTTGGCTCAGTAACTGGCCACAGACGGTGAGAGGGAAGATTGGGTTATGGACCCTAAAGGGTTGATCAAGAAAGCCACCTTGATTTTTGCTGCCAAGTTTTTCGAGATGCTAGTACAACATATGTTGTATCCTATTCAAGAGGTTAATATGGTTGCGTGGGACAGGGCAGTGTTGGTAGTAGCCCTAGTAGCGGCACTAGGATTGATTTTGTGCGGCTGCTTATTTCGATGATCCATGAGAGGTCTTTCAAGACCTCCACTACCTATCCCTTTGCGTGTTTGATCTTCCTGCTTTGTAGGGAGGACAGGGTACCCATTTCGCATTCTGACACACTACGTCACCCGGTGGGGACAGTCGATATCGGTCTCATCAGGGATGACTCCAATGTAACGGTTCCACGGAGAGGACCCAGGATTGAGGTGCCCCTATTGAGCAAGAATTTTGTTGAGACAGTGGATTTAACCCAAGGGCCTGATCCTACTGGATCTGCGTCTGCTCTCACCACCCCGGCTAAGTCCAGTCATGCTACTAGAAGGCCCCACAGCTCATCCCAATCCAAACCTCCATCTGCAGCACTGGTTCTTTTAGTGTGGGTACAGAAGTTAGTGGCATAGATGGCCACCCTCCTCCACTAGATGCAGCCTTGGATGCAGAATTACATTGTTGCGTCCAAGGATAGAGTTGAGAAGAGGGTGACTCAACAGAAAAAAAGAAAATTTAGGTGGTCCACCAACGCCTAGTCGGTGTCTAGCTTAATGTACTTGTACGACCAGCCCCGATGATAGACCTCACTATTCTTTAGGACACGGTTGCTAGTTTCTGTGTTGATGTAGATGCCATTATGGAGATGATGGGGATTGAATCGGAGGGTGCGCCCATCGAGCTAGCAGAAGAAACAGTGTTCAATTCCTTGTTTCAGCCCTTTGTTGAGCCATGTGTCATACTAAGAGGCACTCTTCTAGCCGCACCACTGAGGCACGTGATAATGCCCATGTGAGGAAGAGAGAGAGGACGGACCTCGAGGCTGCTAGGAGAGCCTCTTCGGTGGGTGAGGAGGCGCACAAAATTAGGTCACGAGGGATGGCTGCTGGGGCGTCTAGTTCCATACTGGTGACCGGTGAGAGGACCACCACTGATGGTGCAGAGATTGATGTGGGCACAGCTAAGGGTGACCCAAGTATTGATGTTGCTGGTTCCGGGAAACTAAACCCTCCCACTTGTTGAGAGATCGTAGGCTCTATGCGCCTCACCTTTGCTTTACCTACAACTATGTACTTAGGATGTTTTATGCATTGTGTACAATGGCATGCTCTTATTGTCGGGGGTGGGGTAAAAGAAAAGTGAGTGTTAGGGTAAGCCTGACTAGCCTAACTCAAAGTCCTCGCTTGGGATTTTCTTGCCTGTGATCTTTTACATTAATAGACTGATTAATTTTTTGTTGAATCGGCATGACATTATTTGTGCAAAGTATAAAAGCATCAATATAATGAATTATGATGGCTGAAAATAAATGATATACCTTTCTAGATAGTGCTTGTATGAATAGGTAAAAATGAGTTTAATTTGTTGGATCTAAGCATGACATAGATAGGAACCCACTGCATGAACCTCAACTAACACAAAAAATGGGAAATTTGACAATCTGATAGTGTAATAAGGTGTCGAGAGAGTGTGAGGATTTTGGAGTGTTCAATAGTTGGTACGTAGCTAGAACTTGCCCAGTTAGTCCTGCAAAGGGAATCTATGTTAGAAGACTAGGGAAGGATCATAGGCCCTTGTTCGAATTAGCAAACATCTAGCCTAAAATGAGGTTAATCAAACTAAAGTTTTATCCCCTTTGATCCAAATCTGTTGAGCATGTAATAGACCTATTCTTTTTATCACCAAATCACCTTCCTAGGGTTTACTTTTTTGGCA